ACAGTGTGGGTTGTATCAAATAACGAATCAAATTGCCTCTTAGAAAATAGGATGGTATCTATATTAATCTGGAGATTTTACATTTTACATTGTTATATCTAGGGAGAATTACATATGAAAAGTATTTTGTGTGACGCTCAGCTGCTTACAACGCACACGCTGTCAGCAAAATGCCCAACACTAAATTGCGATTCGAGCGTTCGTTTTAGACGGGCTGATTTTGCTGACCGAAGCGAAAATTGTAGAAAGTACTCATCTGTGTTATCATGAAGTTACTTCTGTGGTTATTACAAACTGTGGCAGAAATGGTAAGAAATCTCGTCATGGCCTACGTATACGTTATCTCGAGGTTGGTTTGGAATATTTCGTATGGTAGGTGCGGTGTCATACAAGATGTTTGCTATGGTAATCGCATGAAAGAAAGAGGATGGCAGAGAAACAATTGTAGATCAGAGAGACGTGGATATTGGTAAAGCTGCAGATGATTTTAAGCTCACGTCTTCGATCGATTACAATAATTATTTAGAGGGAACAAGATGCCTTGTAAATGAGTTAAAAGGTGTAAGATCGAAATATTGTATTTTCGTGTGTAGCGAGCGGATGATGCAAAGGGATGACTGAAAGACGTAAGCTTAGATGTCGAGAACCTTCAAGAATCTGTCCCAAACTTACAGAAAAATAGAAAGATAAGATGCTTATTTGACAGAGTACTGGGGCTGTTCCAAGGTCGTCGATACTTAATAAGTTCAGATAAAGTAGTATTCGAAAAGAGCATGTCTGTTTTATTAAGTATTTCGTTGGGATATTAGCTAAAAAGGAGAAAAAGAAGGAAAAGAGTTGTTTTGAAGAATCGTTGTGAAATATTTAGGGACAACAATCATCAAAGGTTGTACAAAAACATTTAACTCCATAATGCCATTGAATGGAATCCGGGACCAGTATACGTGAATGAGTTACCCTTATCATAACTGTTAAGAGTCCACCGAGTACTGCTACCTCCAGGGCTTTTAAGTCACAAAAAAATAACTCTTGCACGCCTTGCGTGCCTATGTTTAATTAAGGTGTCTCAAACGCGCCCTAAAATACAGTTTTTGTTACGTGAATTCGATTTGAAGTATTTCGCGTAATTTTGACACCCAGCAAAATAACTTCTAGCAGAAAATTGCACGGTCGAGTCTTCCCTTCCCAGAGCTGCCAAGGTGTGCGAACACTCGTTGGAAACCTGGAGGTTACATATAAGACACATGAGACTGTAGTCTGTAGAGTTTTGCAAATTCTGTCGTTGTGTCTCCCTTTGAATGCATTCATCCTTGTGCCATCAGATCAAAAGTGTAGCAAAACCCTTAATTATCGGCATCACTTAAAATTGTTACATTTTACACTCGTTACCGTGGTTGTGTTTTTTAATAGTGGCTAACAAAGTGGCCGGCAAAATTATCGTTAATAAACCTTTTTCGCTTGGGCGGTTTGGGTTGATATTCTCTAGAGAATTGTTCTTTTATCCATCTTTAAATTATTTATTTATGTGCACACGACCATTTGAAAATTTGAAAAGAAGAATTCTCAAGAAATGGGGCAACAAACCACCCAGTCGAAAAAGGTCTGTTACTCCTCCCAAACATAAGAGGAAAACATTTGACCGTCAGGATTTTTAATAGCCATTTCCAATTTTTCTTAGCTTATTTGTTCAACGGGTTGACGACTCGCAAGTGTTTTGAGATCTTCAATCTCAAGGTTAGCTCCTCCAAATCCCATTAAAATATGTAAATTTCTCTGCGGGACGAGTGTAGCCGTACAAAAGAATAAGAAACAAACATTAAATCAGCCGGTTTAAAATATGTAAATTTCTCTGCGGGACGAGTGCACACGTACAAAAGAATAAGAAACAAACATTAAATCAGCCGGTTTGCATAATACAAACACAGTTAAAAAACGCCGTCTCGGGCTGACAACAACGGGAGAAATTCGTCATACGAGAAGGTATGTTTGGCGTGTTTTAATCTCTTTGCTATTATAGATAAATTTACGAACTTCACCCTGATAAATAATAATAATAATAATACATGATATTTTAAGAGGAAGCCTCCAATCACCATAAGGTGGTTTTCAGGAGGGTCCTCTGAGAAAATAAATGTTAAACCTTTAAAATACATTAAAATCTAAAATACAATAAAAAGGACAAAAACCTATGCGGTAAGCTAACTAAGATTAAAAACTAAAACAAGAATTAAAATACTACTAACTAAGGTTAAAATGGTTCAATAAAAACTGTTTCAGTTTGTATTAAAAATAGTTTTCGGCATCAGTTTCTTTAAAGCACTTCACCTTCACCCACCGTTGAAACTGTTACAGATCCCAATGTACTGAATTGCCTCAGGTCATTTTGCTGATGACAACTGTACATTGAATTAAGTGTACTAGCTGTTACTGTGGCAGGGCACATATCGTTTATGTCTTGAACTTAAAAAAATCACTTTAAAGTCCGATACCAAATTTAATCGAGACAAGGAGTTACAAGGCGCTCTATTTTTACGCACGCGGTGTTTGGTAGTATGAATTAATATGTATGTGTATGATATGTAAAATAATCAAATATGCCATTTGAAATGGCTAGGATCAATATAGCTTTCGCGGAGGTAGATTTTCTTTTTTTATTTTGTGACTTTCTTGGGTGTATTTAAATCATTTAGTGGGACTAGCTGCTATAGTTTTTCCTTAAGGGGAGTCGCGGTCTCACGATCAGTGCGGATCGACCGGTTCGGTTCGAGCCCTGATGAGCCACTTGTCTCATATACAGAGTAACTTATAGTGTATCTATGATATTGAATGATTACATGAGCAGACTAAAACTTTTGTTTTGAAATTGTGGGGTTTGTGTGTACCTTTTGAAAACCCCTGTCCCCCATCTGAAAGTAAGCCATTTTCTCTCACAGCCCCCGATTTTATGGTAGACAGATTTACTTCACAGAGACTCTGATAGTGAGTTATATTGATCAGAGGAGAGACTTCGGTAACGCTTCCTTGTTAATTCCAAGTTATTTTCGCCTATCCATGGATATCAGTATTACAGTCGGACGGAAGTCCTGTGACAAATGGATTTCATCACGTTTTCTGTCAGACAATGAAATTTTATATTACACTGTAACAAAGTTACCTACCAGATTGCGTTACCTTGTCTCACATCACGAGATCCTCAAAAGCAATTTAGTCCCATCTCATGATTCAAAAATATTTGTACTACAGTTTGTTCTTGATCCGCGGACACTTAAGACGATGCAAAATTCAAAGGAGAGCGAAACTCTAACAAACAAGTTAGGCGGCCTCAACTATAGCAATGATCTTTGGGCTTCATATAAGGTGAGAATGTTATGATACAGTTTGCCTAGTTATAATTTGACAAAATATGACGTTCACAACAGGCTGGATCATGTGTTTGCCACTATGATTGCATTTTTCTCAACTTACAAGCTCTGTAAACTAAATACACTTGGACGGTCTGAGATTAATTTGATTCTTATATAAAAATTTATCTGTCAGATCGTTTAGTAAAGCATATCTACAACTCGATACATCTCTAATTTCTCACTAAACGTTCCGGTTAGACTCATGTTCTTGACTAGTTCAAGACAGGTCTCCCTGACTGGTTTACAATCCGTCAATGTGCTGGTTTTTCTTTACAGCTGTGTGAGAGCTTCATTTCAAACTGTGTTTCTGATAGTGTGGGTTAGCCTTTTTCATCTTCATAATGCTCTCAAACGCAAAATTCGTAAGGCAAGTCTGGGCCGAGCTGCGCGAGCGGTGACGAATACGGGAGTCCATGAGAACGCGATACCCTTCTTTGAATATCAGGGGCAAATATTTCAGACTCACAGACGGATATAAACAGAAACAAGTGAAAAGGATACTTCACTACTCATGACATAAGAAGCCTACGAGATTTCGAGATCAGTTTAAACGTGTCCGAGATATTCCAATGAATGAGTTATTGGCACGGCTCCGGTGAAAGTCTACAAATACGATCGGGCCACTGAAAGGGACTATATCTATAACGCCACATCACGCCACGTATGGAGACAACGACAAGAATAACAACAACAACTTTATTTGTACCCTAGCATCTACATTTTCAGATGAGTTAATAATAAAGTACAAAAATAAAGAGAGTACTGGCTGCCCTATATAACCATAAGGGGCTAAAAAAACAACAACAACAACAACAACAACAACAAAACAGAGAGAGCAGCCATACTTAAGAGCACAACAATATATAGTTTTAGTGTCAGGTAAATGATATAGAATGCACGGTCAACACACACGCACATACACTTGAATAAACTCGCACTAATGTATTTTCAAAGCCAGAAGTCAAAAATAACTTTTAACAACGCCAGAAAATAATTTAAAATAATTTTCAAGATAAATAGGTTTTAACTTATTTTTAAATTGTTTAAGAGCTAGGAGCTTAACATCACCGCTAATGCTATTGCAAATTTTGGCACCTTGAAATGTTATATTTCAAAGTGTTCGGTTAGGAAAAACGGCGAGCGAAAAGATAGGGGTAGTGGGGGAGTGTGACGGACCAGTCCGCTCTCCTATTTCCCGGGTTTTTCTCGCGCTTCGCCACTTCTGCATCTAAATGACAAACCTAAATAGCTAGGTTAAAAATGCGTTGTCAAGGTCTGATTCCGAGAACATAACACGTACCTCGGAATTCTGCAAAGTGTTTCTAGTATTTTCGTCTTTGTTTACCATTTTGGCTATATGAACAACCCAAGGGCCGAGGGGTCCCTGAAATAACCAAACAAAGATCATGCGCCACGTCACACGTCGAAAATCACGCAATTTGCCATGTCACGGTAGTAGTCTGGACCCAAGTTTGCAGGTCGTTCATGAGAGAAGTGGATCGTGTATTTCATCGATAAATATTTCATTTACCCCCTTTTGACTAATTCCTTGGAGACATCACTTTGTAAGAAGATCATGGTAAGCTCAAAGATATGATTAAACTGGTGAATGTGTTTTTCTTGCCGCGATCAAAGCCACGAGTGTTGATCTGTTTGTTTGTAGGCGGAGCTGCGGAAGGCGGCGGACCCAGTGGTTGAGTTCAAAACATTAGCTCGTAGAGACGCCTTTGAGCGCATGGACCATGAGTTGAAACTCTTGTTTGACACAGTACCAGATGACAGAAAAGAGGTAATGTCTTGCCGTACGAAAGTTAGAATTACTTGTGCGAATTACTCGTGGATGAGCGGCCGTCCGCCCTGACTATTTGTTCTGCTTCAGCTAGTTGGGTCATTAGTTGGTGTGTAAGGGAGCTTAAAGGTATTGAGCGATTCTTGACTGTCTTCATCTCATCAAGTAAGCTCTAAACGTCACAATTAGTTAACAAAAGATACTTATAAATCAGGTAGTGCAAAAGCCTCTCGATGTTAATCAACAACAAAATCACGCTATCAAACCACAGCAAACGATAACAAAATTCCTTCGTTCCATCGTTGTATTGTTCCATTGTTTTGTAAGTACTTACATAACCGTATCAAGAATAATTATAGCAAGCTGTAACCTTGTTAGCTATCCGCAGGGAAAGAGCCTAAGCCAGAAAACAAATGAAGGGGGTTTGGAGCTAAGATTTTGTCTTCCACAGAAACTTGATGATGATGGGCCGTTAGGCTCGCGATTTACAAATGATTTAGCTTTTCTTGTGCTTCGAGTGATTTAGTTTCTCTTGAGCTCTCCAAACATCCCACATGGGTTTATTTTGCCATTAAAGCCCTAGAGAGTGTGGTCAATGACTTAATTAAAGCATTATTAACTTTTTCGCCAATCAACATGCATGTACAATTCAACCTATGTTATAAACATTTAGTCATTGTTCGTAAGGTATGCCTTTTATTTTTTTGTCTCAGGAAGCATTGTTGAACATAAGTGGTTTCAAAGAGTTGTTTGGTAGGTTTCTTGAAGAAACAGGTCCATCAGTACAATGGGAGAAAATAAAGCCTCCTCCTGAAGGATCTGTAAGTAATTTAACACGAAATACTAAATAAATATGTTTCAGTCTGTTTTTTTTTTTTTTTATTGAAATTTTTTTTTGTTTAGCCCAGTTTTCATCATTTCTTAGTTCTAACTGTAAACTGAATTAAATTATTCAGTATGATTATTTGCAAATTTTGAGGATTAAAGAAACATTTGGTTACAAATATTTTGGTGAAAAAAAATTATGTATCTTTCCTATGGGGGCACAGTAACGAATCCTGCAATCTAATGGTCTAGATTTTCCTAACTCTGACCATGGTCACAGAAACATGTGTGATGTGTGTGAAAAGGGTCAACAATTTATTATGTAAGTGATTCAGAGAGAGGAAAAAATAGATAAGTTATCTCCCAGCATATGGCCGGTCCGTGTAATGAAAAACTTTGACCTCAAACTTGAAAGTGCCCCCCTCTCCTATGGCCTTGGGATTTTCAAGACCACAGTCACAGTTTTTTACTATCATACTTTCCAGCGAGCAAATAACATATATAAGATAACAGTTGAGTTTGTTTTTGACTGAGATATGGTATACAAAAAGGAACCCTTCAAGTGCAATAGGTCTTTTGCATGATTATTTCACATGCTCAACATTCTGTTGCATGAAATTTTCTCACAGCTCTGACACTTTCGTGATGTTGTTATGTGTGTGTTCTTTCATCTTTGCTGTTTTGAGAATTTGTTCATGATAAAATTAACAATTTGCAAGCAAGGTTTGGTGAAAATTACCTTGTCTGATGACAACATCTATGAGAGCTATTGCCTTATAACTCGCACTACATAGAACAGTTTTAATAATTTGAGTGTCAAAAAGTAATTGGTTTTGCATTAACTACACTACACAATTGGCTTAAAAAAACCCGTACCACTTTTTCATCCAATCAGAAGTAAAACAAAACTCAATTGTAACTCACTTGCACTTGCTTATTTATGCTTCACACCAGCCACATGTAATTACTTTGAGTTTTGATTGGTTTTTATTTATTTATTTATTTATTTATTTACTTACTTACTCAAATTCAATTACACAGGTGATCAAAATTAAATGAAATATTTACAAGTATAAAAAGGAGATCTGAGTAATGAAGCCAGTTTATACAGTTTCTTTTCTCTGTGTCCTTTGTGATTAGCTAGTATTAGAGCTATTACTTTGGTTTTGGTTTTACAACAATCAATTAAAAACTGCTCTATTCAATGATTTATTATTAATACATGTAGTTGCAGAGGTACGGTCAACACATAAACTGTTTTAAGGAACAAAAAGCCTATTTTAGATTCAAATATCATGTTATAGTCTTGTTTAAAGCTACTAAAATTTATAGCCATGTTTTTTATCGACCTTTCAACCGGTTTGCAGGATGAGAATCTAAATGGTGTGACATTCTAAATGGTGTGAACCTAAATGATGTTTCATTCTCTGAAAGCTGGATTTTTAAAGCTCACTTTTCACTGAGTTGCCTTCTTGTATTATCTTCTTCAGATTGTTAGGTACGATCAAATACCAGAAGTCTCTGCTAGCGATATAAAGGGTGTTCTTGATAAACTTGTGGTGATCAAGCTCAATGGAGGTCTAGGGACAAGCATGGGTTGTACTGGTCCTAAAAGTCTAATCTCGTTACGTCGTGATATGACCTTCCTGGACATGAATGTACAGCAAATTGAGGTGAGACATTTTAAGTTCCAAGGTTGATCAACTAATTAACTCACCTTGTAAATGCAATACACCATAAAAACTGCTGATGAGATTAAAAAAAATTATTGGTTAGTGAAATGAGACATTGTGTCCTTTGCAACCCTTATTAGAGCTGTCGCTCAACACTTCACCCCAGTATCTTGTCTTAATGAAGACTTGCAAACATTAAATACCATTAAATTATAGACCGAGGAAATTACCTAACAGTTATTTCTTTTAAGTATCCTCCAACACTCTTATTTTTTTTACATTTTACCCCACAGCAACTGAATAAGAAGTATGGCTGTAAAGTTCCCCTCGTCCTGATGAACTCCTTCAATACACATGAGGAAACTATGAAGACACTGCGGAAATACAGTGCATATAATGTCGAGATAAAATGTTTCAATCAGAGTTGTCATCCACGTATTGTGAAAGAATCTTTGCTTCCTTTGCCCAGGGTTATGGGCATGAAGGAATTCAACGTTGAATGGTGAGTGATCAGTGAGACACTGAAGGGATGAAGGTAGAGAGGTTTCCTTCCTTCCTTCCTTCCTTCCTTCCTTCTTTTCTTCCTTCCTTCCTTCCTTCCTGCCTGCCTGCCAACCTTCTTTCCTAGCTTCCCTGCCTCCTTCTTTGCTTCATTTCTTCCTGCTTGTCTGTCAGACTGTCCACCTACTTTGAATCTCTTCATTCCTTAATTTGTGGTGATAGTATTAAATCTAGTGGGCTTTAAGTTATAGCTTTCAGTCGTAATATCCTTTTATTTTCTTGTTTAGTTTCAACCCACCAGGTCATGGTGATATTTATCGCTCATTCTACAGTTCTGGTCTTCTTCAAAAGTTCATTGATGAAGGCAAAGAGTATATGTTTGTCTCCAACATCGACAACCTGGGAGCCACTGTAGATGTAAATATCCTTTCAAAGCTGTCATTGGCAAAACAGTTATCTGTGCTGGGAATGTTAGGTCAATACCGGCAGGTTCGCTGCAGTGATGTAATACAACTGTGCTTTCATATAGCTTACTTGTTTTATATGTAGGTGCAGCAGTTTCTAATCTATGATGTTTACCACCATCCCCAGAAATGGATACAGTAAAAGTTACGTCATGCTTAAGTTTACAAAAGTTAAATTAACCTGGTGATCAGAAGTAGTTTAAGTTGAATTGTCTTTTATATGGAGCTTAAAATCCCTTGGTGTTAACAGTATGCTCAAAAAACAGAAAATTGATGGAAATAATTTACAAGTTGTGTAAAAACACATAATAACTCGCGATAGATTCCTTAACTAATTTCAGATATTCTGAATTACATGGAAAATCCTGCAAGATCCCCAGCACCAGAATTCCTGATGGAAGTCACTGATAAAACAAGGGCTGATGTCAAGGTACTACTGTGACACATTTATTTACATTGATGATTACTAGGGGATATGTAATGCCTCAGCCAATGGATCAAAAATGCAACAACTGCTTGCAAATGCCATTGTTGTGTCCCTGTTTGACTGGTCAGGCCTGCCTTCAAAAATTACATGTTGAGAGATATGATGCTACTTTATCTCATTGCAAACGTAAACTGAAATTCATTAGGCGAGAATAATAGTAAATGATTTAAATAATGAAACTCTTGCAGGGAGGAACACTTATAGAATATGAAGGAAAACAAAGACTGCTAGAAATTGCGCAAGTTCCTAAAGAACATGTAAGTACTGAAATGTGAAGAATTCAGGGCTTGAAAAAAACTTGAATTCCAGCTTGCCTTTGAGACAAGTAGCTCTCAAATTTTGCTTGCCCTGGACAAGTATTAGTTTGCTCTTTTAATGATTTAGTCTACAGATGATTTCCTTCATCCCTTGCCCACCTGGCAAGTGGGAATGAAAGGTTGCCTTCCCAGAAGGAAAATCTACTTGTCCGAGACAATGGGACAGCACTTTTTTTTCCGAGCCCTAAAGAAAACTTGATGTTAGCCATTTTCCTACTTTTCTGTGCTGCATCACATAATAAGCGTTTAGAAGAGCTTCTTTGTGATGACAGGTTGCACTCTTATGATTTTTTACTTATAATCACTTTATATTCTTATGGTAACTTATTTCATGTATTTCCACTGATGGACACACACAAAAAATGAAAATGTGGAAATCTGAACCCTTTGTAAACAATTCAACTATTTTGCAGGTTGATGAATTCAAGTCAGTTAGCAAGTTTAGGTAAGTTAAGACTGCAAGGTACTACTTTGGAATGGTTTTTTGGTACAGCTGTACTCATTAACTGCTATCTTGCATTCTTGTGCAAGACACTTCACCGTGACAGTTGTACTTCTCTCATATAATTTCAATCAAGGAGTTCGTTTGGGTGTGACAAGCTGTTTGGGGGTATGTGAGCAGGGCTTGGGGGTGGGGGGCTCAACAGAAAACGTGGAGGTAACTTTCAGTGGACTAACATTCTGTCTAAGCTACAGAGGCTGCCAGTACCATTAGTGGTGGCCTTGTGGACTCTGTTGCAGGTTCAGTGTAGTCTTGTCCTTTCACTCAATATGCACTTTGTGTAATATCTGTTATGATTATTCTGTACCATTTTATGTTAATCAATTTATGTTTATAGGATCTTCAACACAAATAACTTGTGGATGAAGTTGACTGCTATAAAAAGGCTACTGGAAGAGAAGAAAATGCACATGGAAGTTATTGTTAACAACAAGGTGAGGGACGATGTTTCAATTAGCAGCACATACGGTCCAAACTTATTTGTTCAACAGAAAGCTTGATTAAGTAATGTTATTTTGTGATTATTGACTTTGAAAACGTAGATTAATTTTGTTGCCTTTGAGAGGAAGAAAAATTTGTACAAGATACACCCTCTTCAGTGAAGATGCAGTGTTTCCCATTCTGATGTTACAATTTCCATTACAAGAGGATTTCCTATAGACTTGATAATAAATAACCTATATGAGTAATAACGAAGAGGCAAGNTGGGATCTGCTACTTCCTCATATGGGTAATAAATAACCTAAAATATCTTATTTCTCTTTTTTTATTAGACCCTTGATAGTGGAATGCGCATCATTCAACTGGAGACAGCTGTAGGTGCTGCCATGAAGAACTTTGAAGGAGCGCATGGTAAGATCAAAATTAGAATTCTCCCTGCTGTTTTTCATACATTTCTTTTGTTTTCAGTGATAAAAATTTCTTGATACATCAAGAGTCACTATTTGCATTGTCACGCATGATCGCTAACAATTTCACAATCACGTTTCCTTTCCTCTTCACTCATGCAGGTATAAATGTGCCTCGGAGACGTTTCCTTCCGGTCAAAACTTGTTCAGATTTACTATTGGTCATGTCAAACCTGTATGACATGAATGATGGCCGACTTGATCTGAGTCCGCTGAGACAGTTTCCGTCTGTGCCCATAGTACAGCTCAGTGGTCCATTTTTTAAAAAGGTGCGTGTGTTTAACTCATAGTGTTTCTACATTAAAACTTTCAATTTATGTTTTTCGAAGTATTGTAATCCAGATATAACACATGTTGGTTGCTAATAAACTAAATTTATCCTTTCATTTTTGTAAGAATGTTACTCTAACACCCGGGGTCTAACGTTAGGACACCATATTTCAGATTGAAGACCCAAGGTAGCTAATCCATAGAGCAGTTTTCAGTTGAGTGTTGAAAGTAATCAGGCAATTACTTTGGTTTTGGTTTTGGTTTTGATTTCACTACGGTTTTAGATTGGCTGAGTAGTCTGAAGGATATTTTAATCAGTCTTCTAACACCAGAAGTTCCCTTACTTAAATATCTGTTACTTATAGGAAAAATTTATTTATGGGCGTGTAGAAGGAATAAAGAACTTCCAAGTATATGACGTTTTCAATCAAAAGTCAAATTAAAGTATGAGACTGAAAAATACATCTGTACAAAAAATAATAATTTAGATATGTTTAGGAAGAAGTGGGCAATATAAATACTAGAATTAGTTGAATAACTTAGAATATGTTAGGCTCAAATAGGTGTGACTTTGCTATGTAAACTTGTTCGTAGTGTGTGTACGTGAGTGAGTGTGAATTAGTGATGTTATACCGTAAGTCCTGTTTATTATGTATAGTAAAGTAGTAAAGTATTGTAATGAAAGTTGTGTAAATAGTTGTGTGCATTGCAATAATAATAATAAAAAAATAAAAATAATAAAAAAAAAGATTGGCTGAGTAGTCTAATTGGTAAGTTATTGGTTTGGTTTTGGTTTTACGACACTCAACTGAAAACCACTCTATAACTAGCTTAAAACCTGACAAACTTTTCACCTCCTGGTAAGGATTAGTTTTGTCAATAAGTCAGAATATCTCACGGTGTGGAAGGAACGGTGGTGGTAGTAGTAGATGTCAAGCTTAGTAGAGATATGAGAAAGTTTATTTTTTATCTAATATATGATTGCTTCTAGCCTGCTTGGCAGGCCGCAGAAGGGGAAGGAAAAGGTCAAAATGAGCGCGGGACTTCCCCTACCATCACGCGCTTTGCATGCTCGTTTTTTCCCCTTTCCCTCCCCTTCGGTCGCCTGCCACACAGGCTAGATTGCTTCAAGTACCCTGTGCAGCATTGTGTGATCAAGAAGAATAGAGACATGTTGTCAGATGAAAAATCAAAATCACTCAACTTCTCAGTGTTAATATTAACCACTGGTGTTACTGACTCTGGTTAACTTTAGTTATCTGTAAGACTGCTGTGAGAAAATTGCTGTAAGCTTTATTTGACCATCTCTGTCATTTCATTGGTCAATAGGTGAAGGATTTCTTGAACCGTTTTGAGACCATCCCAGATGTGTTAGAACTGGACCATTTGACTGTGTCTGGTGACGTCACATTCGGCAAGGGTGTGTGTTTGAAGGTAGGTCTTATTTGTCTAGTTGGAGAACCGCTGACCAAGTTGTCTGTCGTGAGAAAATTGCAGGGCAACTGGCAATCGGAAGTACTTTTGCTTTACCGGAAGAAACTATTGTACACATAGGTAGTTGATAAGTTATTTTACATACTCAAGGTTTAATTTTATGGAAATGCGACTCCATCGATACTCAAACCCAGTACGATAGATTAGTCAGCAAGTACCATACCCAGTGGACCACAAAAAAGTATATAAAAAATAAATAAAATAACCTTTATTTATCCTCGGCAGTGTTTATAGCTCAAAGGCTAGTGGGGTCAACAAACAAGCATAAACAAACAATTCAAATTGAACATAACATTATTATGCATTGACTGGCCGGAGGCAAACCAGTTGACTATTTCCAAGCATGGCCGAGGGTTTGATCTCGGAGGTGTGGTCAGAGTGGAACTCGGACCCGGGACCGCTGGATTTCGAGTGCGACACGCTGACCACTCAGCCTCGCTGCCTCCACAAACTAAGAGAAAGGGCTTGTTAGCCGGTAAAAGGAAACAAAAGCGTACAGTTATTTATTTCTTTGATTTTATTTATCTTTCCTTACAGGGCACTGTCATTATAATTGCCAATCACGGTGATAGGATCGACATTCCTTCAGGAGCCGTTCTTGAAAACAAGATCGTGTCTGGAAATCTTAGAATCTTACAACATTAAAAGAAAGCCCCTGTTACCTCCAACATGAACAACTGTCTCTCTTTCACTCTTCCTCGTCTCTACAGCAACTGCATGACAGGGGGTTGTGCGTAACCAACTGTAGTGTTAGTAGGCTTGTGAAATGTAATCATTGTTTAGTTGTAGGTATTCCTTGTCTAATGTTAAATGGTACTGGCTATGTACCCTGCGAGCGGAGCACCCTTTGCATTGTAATCATCTCTGCTCCGAGTGAGGGGAAAAGGCTTTACTTGCAGGTTATTAAAATAGTGAGTTTAGGTTTTAATAGGTGATGTGATTGCCATTAATCATATTCTTTGGATAGTCGGATTTTTCAATGTTGTTGCTTCTCTGATTAATTCGTAATTTCTTTACTTTTTTTTGCAAAATAGGTCAAAAAGTGAGTTATTGAGAATCAAGGTGTTGGTAATGTGAAGTGTAGAAAATTTGCCAGAATAACATCAGTAACATCTCTTTTTTCTTCGTCCTATTAAGAAATACTCAAGTTTGCTAGTCTCGAGAATTAACGAACTGATCAACAACGTGAAATTGTCTTGATATTTAACACATTTTCACAACTAATACAGTGAAAATGGATGGCGGTCAGTAGCGAGAATTGGGGCTTTTAAAAAGGGTTAACGAACTGGGGGCACATTTTATACTATGTCTCAGTTCTCATTCAATTATAGTTTCGTATAATTTTACAGATAATTAAAAGGTTGTTTCAAAAAGGAGCAATAGTCGACAAGGAAACAAGCTGAGAGAACTAAAAGAGACCATAATCTGCTTGTCAAACAAGCGAAACTCTCATTGATCGTTGTGAAAATTTTAGCAAGATCAAAACCGTGGAGAGTAGGTAACAAAGGACGAGAGTTTGATGTGTCCATGCAGATAAAGCTTTTCGCTGCTAACATTATCGTTTAGGGTAGGTTTCAATTCCCTAATTAGTAGAGTCTCCTTCAGTCTTGCAACGAGTATCTGACCGACCTTTTGCCAATATATCAAAGTGGTACCATTTTAAGTTGTGGCCAGTTGACGTGACGTGGTCTGCGATAGCAGACGCATGACAGCTACTTGTGATCGCTTTAAAATGTTCAGTTTTTCTGTCATGCAATCTACGTTTTGTTTTTCCAATGTAGAAATCCTGGCAGTCCCAACAACTAGCCTTATACACAACTTTTGACATTTGGGAACGGTTGACCCTATCTTTATATCTTTATCATTTTGTTTTCCAAAATGCGTTTTATTGTCATGTTTGTCACCGCTGTTTGTATGTTATTTCTTATTAGGCTGGGATTTGCCCATTTTTCGCTGGGAAAGTGAGATTTGGGTCACTGGGTAAGAGAATCACAATTCACAAAGAAAAAACGGCAATTGAATGGGACTGGAATATGGGGGAAAATAGGTTGGAATATGGGATTTTGGTTGGGAATTGAGACTTATTCCGCCCCCACTTTCAAGACCCTCTTGTGTGGTTCCCTGTTGTTCCATCTTTAAAATGCCACGTGAACCAACATTTGAACGATTTGGATTTAATCATAACTCCATGAAAGAAATGCCAGTTTACAATTTCGCCATGGTAGCGTTGTCCTTCATATGTTGTCAAAATTTTAGAAAATCTCAGACTCGCCTGCTGTCTACACATGCACATAAAACAAGTCCCAAATGAAAAAAAATAATAACAATAATAATGATGATGATGATAATAATAATAATAATAATAATAATATACATGAGCAGTGTAGTTAAAGTGTAACATCAGTGCAAGATGTGTAACACCATTGCAAAAACTCGCCTGCTGTCTACACATGCACATAAAACAAGTCCCAAATGAAAAAAAAAATAATAATAACAATAATAATGATGATGATGATAAGCAGCAGTCCTGTCGGGAGACTCAGAATTTTTCTTTGTTCCACGCTCGTGTCATGTTGATTAATTCACCTTCACATTTCATTACCGAGCTTAAAATTCACCATCTTTATTAACTTATCAATTTATGACATTTCAGTCCTAATGGCCACTAGCTTCCTTTTCGTCTGAAGTAAATGCTTAGTCAGTCATTTCTTTATTTAATTCACCCATTAGGATCACACTTACAGTACATGTCTGGTTCAAGGTGGTACCCTAACATTAATGGTTTCCATACTTTACTTACAGTTGCCTCATGTACAGTGGAACTTTGGCTAGTAGGCTTTTACCAGTGTGGGCTAATTTGATTTGTTGAGTTTGCTTGGAATATAAATTCCAGTTCAAAACAAAGGCATAGATAAACACTTTTTAACCATGCCACAGGAGATACACCCAATCAGAAATATACAGGAAGCTGTTGATACTTGACGGCATCACACCCAAAATTCCCATCATGTGCTGCGTGTATGTCACATTGATTGCGTTGACCACTTTTCTATGGCCTGGTAAAAAATAGTTAATATGTGCTTCTCCTACAAGGTATAACATGGAATTCCCCCTTTGTCACTGTCAGTTATATTTTCCTGGTATATACACTTGCCTCCAGGCTCATGTGTGCACTGAAAAAATACAAAGGGCAATAAGAATATTCCATGGTATACCACTCGAAAGCATTTGCATATTATTATAAGTAGTATATCACAAGCTAGTGTACATGTTTATACTCCCATGCTGGGTGTCATTCTTTGGTCAATGGTCAATTTGCCGTTTCCACATCCCCCATACTACACCTTGTTTACCCCCCAAAATTTTGCATAAGCATTGTCTTCAGTTTCTCTTGGGATGACTGTAACACCCAGGAGAAATGGGAAAAAGGTTATGCAGAATTTTGGGGGGCAAACAAGGTGTATTATGGGAGATGTGGAAATGGCAAATATTATAAAATTTGCTGCCGTCATCTGCTAGATACTGAGTAATTTTGACGTTCATGATGACAATGATGAATTTGGCATTTTCTGTATAGTTAAATCACTGTCGCCTCTTAATTTTCACCTGTAACATTCATTGCTTTGCTTATGTCAGTCAAGAACAATTAGGCAAGTGTGATCTATCCCTCAAAACAGTTGGGTTGCTTGGGTTAAGGATGCAGTCCTGGAAGCCTTAAGGCCAGTGAGATCTTGTTTTCTCACACAACAGGCTGACTGTATGCGTGTACTTGCCTTCCAGCTTTCCTATGTTCGAACCTATCATTCCAAGCTTACTAAAATCAAGCAGGATATGAACTCTATTGAAGACAGAGTTGCAAGACTTCAGGTGAGGGAAGTTTTTCTTCTCTGCAGTAGAGAAGACCCTTTATTTTACTTCTTCCCTATAATTATATTAGGGCCTTCAGCTGATATACCAACCATGTAAGAACAGGCGATTTGCATGATGATGGAATCATTTGACTACAAATACCAGAATCCTTTACGATTTCTTTATATCATGCTAATTGGCACAATTGTCATTTATATCCCAGTGTGGTTTAAAAATTTGAATAAAAAAGGAGAAACAAAATGAATTCTGGTAGTTGTCGTGAAATGACGACATTGTGCAATTGTGCTTTTCACTCACTAGACACATTTCCCTAATCACATAAGAGTTATTATTTCTGGCTTGATCTGAGGTATATATCTTTACTTCCTTCCTTGTTTTGGAACATAAAAGAAATTAAACTTTGCTCTTATTTGAAATTTCTAGAGGAGAGCAATGAAACTCAAGTCACAGAAGGAAAAGGAAGAACGTAGCAAAGTAGAGGCTCAGGAGCGGCAACTAGAACTAGAGAGACAACTCACGGCTAAATTGGCATCTGAACATCAGCGATAGACTTGTCCCAAATAATATAGGGTATTCATAATTAATTTGTCTTATTAATCTTGTCAGTTCAATAGTCATGGCCTGGAAACCTAGTGGCGACTCAAGTGCTTCAAATGGAATTGTTCAGGGCTAAGAATAACCAAATATGGGCTGATGGAATGCCATTATTTCAGTTGTGTACCTTCCCACTCAGAATGACTGTCTCATGCATGCCTTTCCAGATACTCTTGGCCAAGGCCATTACTCTTCTTCAAAGTTAGCAAAGTTGGCAAGCAGAAAATTTATGCCCTTGTTTATCATGACTTCAATGTGATTGGCAGAGGATGCAAATTTGTTACTAAATATGAATTTGCATGGCAAATTAATGTGTGTACATCTGTTCATAATTTTCCCAGTCATTTATCATGAGCATCAAATGATTTACTCTACTCATATTTGAGAATTCTTTCAAATCCTTTCAAGTTTGAGAGAATTTTCCATGTACGTGTTTGAGTAAATTGCATTTAGCAGAAATTGTTGAGTATTGAGTCTCGAAATTTAGATTTGTAAACAAGGGTTTTTGAATGTTGCCGAGTCTTGGATTAGATCATTCTGCTGGAGTGAATACGTTGATGTAATATTATTAATTAAATTAATACACTATTTATAATTTATAATTTGTTCTGGTGGAAAGTACTGTCCAAAACCAGGACAGCCAGTTTGGCACAAGGGATTGTAAAGAACAATTACATACAAAGAATGGTTTTCAAGCTGTTAAGTTAATAAATCAAACAAATTAAAAACTCAGTAAAGTATTATAAATACTTCAAAAGTATGTTTTATTAATTCAAAACAATACCTACTCTTCAAGGGTGTACATGTATGTCTAGACAAAAAGTACCCTAGGGGCAACTTGTAAATTGAATAGATTAACTGGTATTTTATGTATGAATCCCTTTATATTATTTACAAATGAATGTACATGTGTAGTAGCACCATTTCATGGTGATCACATTTTGTATATTTGTTTGATACAACGTTCCTACTAAACAAGGCTGTATTGTTTCCACAACAAAATCCATTTGAGAGTGAAACTTCATCAGCTATTTGCAAAAAATACTGGGTGTCTGGAAAACCCGAATAGCAAATAGCGAATAGTCGTGAATAGCGAACAGCGAATAGTCCCGAATAGTGAATAGCAAATAGTACGAATAGTGCGAATAGTGGCAAACAGTGGCAAATAATGGCAAATAGTGGCAAAAATAGTAGCAAATAGTGTACCCAGTATCTTGCAGTCAACCTCGAAGCAACTTAGGATGGGATTTTCCCACTAAAAAGCACAGACGCTTATCAGGACAAAAGGTGTTTCTAAACGTAATTTCTTCTGTTTTAACCG